GATACAAGTAAAAGGGACAGTGTAAAAGTTCCGTCTTGGGACTTTGAAGAAGATAGGAGTTTGATGTGGCTTGGAGCGAAGTAGAGCAAACGTTATATAATGGTACAAATTCAACTGGTAACATCTGCGGTCCCAATTTTGGGTCTGGATATGCTACACAACGGAGGAAGAAAAGTGAACTATCCGTTGATCGACGACTACGGGGTAAGATACTGAAAATCAACTGAAGTCGCTGTGTTAAAAAAACTTAGATGTGGTGCACCTGTGCTGCTACACGTGTGTAAAATTACAGTCATATGAGCAGTATGAGTTAACGAAATACTCCAGCTATGGCTGCGAGTACTAAGTCAGTTATGTTATTAATGTAGTCTTTATGGCGCTCTCATTGGTGTGAAGTTCGAGTTATTTTTTGTGTGACCTAGTACACGCAGTAGGAACAAGACCACTGGTGGCAGGATTAGATGGAGTGTTTAACTTTAGAATTAGAAGATACGATCACCGGAAAAAGAATTTTATTTGCCTGACGTTTCGGATTCTGTCGAGAATCCTTGATCAGAAGTCGACATTTCATCAATGCCCCCTCTTGGCACTGCCTTGCTACAGCAGATGGCCTATCTTATGAAATATCAACCGAAGTGCTGAAATTGGTTTTCAATTCGAACAAATTACTCAAGTACAGTTATAATATTGATAATATTGCAGCTTAAGCTCAAGACATTTCAGTCACAACAGGATTTCAGCTTTTGAACGAGTTCCTTTCTGAGCACCTGCAAAAAATGGCTAATTTTTTTGTCAATTTATTTATGCTAGGCACCCTTATAAATTAAAGTATTGTTTGTAGAAGCTATGGTCAAAACGTTTTCTTGTACCCCTTTGACAGAAACTTACGGTTCCTTCAAATTTTACGCCTGAAGAATGGATACATTTTGGTTTAAAAAAATTTCCTTACCATTAGATTTTGTAAAACCGTGACATGTTCATTCAGCAACAGTAGATTATGTAGTGCACTTCAGGCGAGGGAGACTCCAGAATAGTGTAACACGAAGCCGGTGTTAAAAGGGGTTTCGTGAATGGAGCATTACAGTGGGCAGTGAAAAGTGTTCAAGTAAGTGTCAAAAGTGCATTCAAAGCAAACAGTGTCTACCAATTTAGTATGGTTGCCTGTACAGTATACAATATGGTCCACTCCCATTTCGAAATGTTATGAGAACTATGGACCTCTCCCTCATGGCGTAGAGGAATGTGTAATTTTCATTAGACAATGTTTACAGCACGCAGTTTGAAAACCTCGAATGCAAGTGTAGCGGCCGGTAAGGTTCAAA